CACTTAACCCTCTCTGCTCCAGGTGTTGCGTGCTTTTCTAATGGAAATGTCCCAGCCACGAAAATGGAGTATGGTCCCACAACCATTATAAAGGATATTATCCTTTATAGCCATTATATCAAGGATTATAATGTTACAAGTCCTTATGTCTGTTGTCTCCCATGGTTTTAAAATCGGTTAACTGAAAATAATCTAGTGTGTCCCTGGCATAAGAGACATAACCGAGTACATTTGTTTTCTTTTCGTAATATGTAAATATGAACGACGCAGCAGTTTCGGTACGGTTCTACATGTAGAATATTTCGACCCAGACAGATACAAGGTTCAGAACAGATCCTACGTTTAAAACAACAACAAAAAAACACTATGTTAAATCTCGTATAACTGTTTAGTAGTCGTTGGCGCTTTCAAAGAAATGCAGTGCCACTGGTGAGAAGAAAGAAAGAATGCTGCATCTTCCCACCCTTGTTCTGTAATTCATCTCTCCACAGTCTGAACCAATTCACAATCAAAATCCAATCTGCTTTCATGAAGCCTGGCTCCGACTTGATTTTTTATTATTTTTTTTCTTTCTTTCTTTCTTTCTTTTTTTTTTAAATATCTAAAAAAAAAAAAACAAGTATATACACAGTATGTTTCTCCAATCATGATTTATGCCAAGACTGAGTGCCGGTTAGTCCCCATGCCTGGAACCGCCAATCCGTCAGTGGTGTTTAGTCACTGTACCAGTCTGGCAACCGGTTTGGGAAAGGGTTCAGTAGATGTAATGCAGCATGTGGCTGGACCACTTTACCACCCACTGTGCCGCAGTATCTGAAAGACAATACGGTTTAAAAAATAAAGAAATAGAAAATAAAAAAGCATTATTAAACCCGTGGGTTAATTTCCGTGCTTAAATCTGATTGGCTGAGCCATGTTATGATAATTAATATCCTGTTTTAACGTGTCCGATTTTAAGACGATCAAAAAGCTATAGTTTTTCTATGTCTATAGCGTACCCTATCTGTTACCTGTCAGGTTGCTTAACAACCAACGCTTACTGTTGATGGACTATTTTGCATGGCTAAAGATTTGTTTATTGTGAATTGTTTACTGCGTGCTGGATTTTTGCCGTAGTGTTATTGCTGCTGCTTATACAAAAGTGATAATCCAATCGACGGCCTGCGTTATTAGGATTTTATCACCGGTAAGTGGGTTTTACTTCGCTTCGCATCGTGCATACGAACAGCCCGACACTTGATTTGAATCACCGTTAGATGCACCCTTGAGTGGTTTTATTGCTTTTGTAAGCATCATGATCCATGTTACGCACTCTGTAATTACAATATAATGTAAATAGAGTACTATAGACTCAGAAGATTTGTCGGTTTATCTGTCTATGTATATGTGTGTATATAAAATATACATATATATATATATATGTGTGTGTGTGTGTGTGTGTATATATGTATGTGAGAAAGAATTGAAGAGAAAATGAGGCAGTCGGGACAAATGATTAATAATAATAATAATAATAATAATAAAATTTTTTTTTTCCTTTATATTACAAGATGGGATTTAAACACTGTTGAATTCTTCGATCTGAATGGTCAAAGTAATTTAATTAGCTGTAATTATAGTAACGGCTCATTCATGGGGACTTGTACGGCAGGCACTCTACATAAACGGGTTTAAAAAAAAACGCTACATGATCGTTGATATGGTGAAGGTTTTCCGTGAGGAGACGTTATTTAACATTTATGGAAGGAGTCTCCAGTGTCAGTAGTTTCCTATGTCTTAGTTTCTTGGTCACATTTGTCTTATGAAATTAATTCGAGAGACTAAAAAGAGAGGGCTGGTGATGGAGCGACTGTTTACAGCTGCTATAACGCAAGTTAAATTAAACGGTTAAAAACGAGACGTCGTTTCTACACCAATGAAAAATTGCAGTTGTTGATGAACTGTTGTGGTGTTAAAGAAGTGACACTCGCGCCGTTGTTTGAAGACGTTTGCAGCGGTTGCAGTAAGTCTGCCTTCTTCAGATCCTTTGCCAATTATTTAGCTCTAATAGCTCGCCCTGTCATGTTTTAATTTCTTACATATCATCATAACCCTCAGCCCTAATACCGAGCTGTAATCATTAATATCCTGCCGGTGCGCCATCTCATCTCTGTAGAGTTCTTTCCAAGCGCTCATCATTCGTCCAGCCTGCCGTGTAATGATTGTATAAACGAGCCATTTGTTAGATCAATGCCACATGGGGATATTTGCAGTTTGGGTTGTGAAGCTTCCATCTTCCAGAAATCATGTTTTTATTTTAAAAACACGGCCCAGTTGCCAGGAGAAAAGGTATGCAAGAGCAGTGATTAGACATCGTGCTTAAATTTGCAAGGAGCTCTCTGGTTGTCTGCTGTAAATTTTGGTGCGGAAATATTTTCTTGTTTCTGCTATGTAAAGCCCTGGTATTTTAAAGTAAACTTTTAAAGATCACTAAATAAAGAATCATATCTGAATAAATAGCTAGTTTAATGAGCAGGGCTTTAGGGTTCCTTTATACAAAACTTTAAAACTGCGGCAGTGACTCCAGTTCTTAAAAACCCTAACTTGGACCCTACTGTTCTTTCTAATTTTCTCTCCAACATTTCCAAAATACGCGAAAGTACTGTTGGCTCCAAGCTTCAGTCTTTCCTTGCTCAAAAGAATCCCTTTGACCCCTTTCAATCTGACTTTCTTCTTCTCCGTAGTACTGAAACCGCCCTCGTAAGGGTCGTCACGACCTATTACTCTCTAGTGACTCCAGTTCTCTTACTCGATCTTCGTTCCACTTTTGATACTGTCTATCATGACTGACTTCTCTCCCGCGCCTCTCGGATATTGGTGTCACGGGTGCTGCTCTTTCCTGGCTTACTCGATTTCTCACTGATAGACAGTTTTACATTTCTATGCAGGACTATCAGTCGCTTACTGTATCTCTGAAATTAGGTGTCCCTCAGGGATCGGTTCTTGGGCCTCTACTGTTCATTATATATTCGGGGCCGTGGCTTCAGTTACCACTGTTTACCACCGTATGACCTTCAAATCTATGCAGCTTGTAGACCTGCTCCCGCTCTCCAGACCGGTGCACTATAAGCATGTATAAATGAAATAAATGAATGGCTTAACTCCAACTTTTTAAAACTGAGATCATTTTTATTGGAACACCAACACTTACTAAAAATATCCTATAACAGCAGCTCCGACAATAGTGCAGCTGCAAATCACAGGTTTATATTAATGTGCTCGTTCTAATACGCTATTGTTTCCATAGTAACAGTAACTCGTACACGGTGACTTGTTATTGAGAAACCACAAAGGTACAGCTTTAGACAGCAGTGACACTGGATACTCCTTCCGTTAATGTTAAATAAAGATCACCTTATAGAAAACTTGACGATTGTAGATGTAAGGAAAACGATAAAGGTTGACCTAATTTAATCGCAGCACATTATTAAACGCCCGTATTATCTGCATTTTAAAGTTACGTTGTGTTAAAGGAACCCATGTGGTTCCTTAATTCTAATTTAATTTGATGTACCGGTGTCGAATTCTGCACCGAACCTTGCCTTCAGGTCACCTCTTCGTAAGTTTTCCAAGAACGGTACGCTAAATCCTTGTCAAGCAATTACGTATAACGTCACAGAGCATCGAATTCCTTTGGCAGCTGACGGTCCCGGTTCAGGTGAAATCCGTGCAGTGGTGGCGGATCACGTTTCAACGGAGACATGACGGCCAGAACAAGAATTATGACTTCAGAGAAGGAAAAAAAAAAAAGTGGTTTTGAGCTAAAATGTCATTCTGAAACCACGAGTAGACTTCTGAAACGTAATGCTTCACATTGTTCTAATTTCCCTTCGAGACCATTTGTTGATGACACTAAGCTTTGTTAAAGGCTGCTCTCGATTATTTCTACAGACTGCGTGTGTAACTCCACACTTTAATACATGACGTGTTGGTTAATAGATTGAATGCCGTGTAATAGGTTCATAATAGTTTGACATGGGAATTGAAAGGTCGTGGTTGTACGTGGGTTGTATGTCATGTGAGTTCCAAATTGGTGTGAAATCAAAACTCACTGTTAAAGCTGGTCTTACCTTCAGGTTATAGATCTCGAAATGGAACAATTCTGCTTAAATCAAGTTCTTTTGAATTGAATTTGAATGAGTATTTTTTTTTTTTTTACCATACCATATTTTTCAAAGGAATCTGCAGGTTTTTGAACACACGTCATCTTCTGAAATGGATGAATGGAGGCAGAAATTAGATTACAGCGAGAGACAGGAGCACACGTGTTAGTGTTTTTCCAAGATAGAGCCGTCCACTGAATGTTGATATATCATTAGTCTGACAGCTCGACTCGGGTGTCTGGATCCCCGTCTTGCACACAAGGAGAACCTTGAGTGAATTTCCCCTAAATCCAGAAACACCTGAAAGGTTATGACACAAAACTTGGTTCAGATTTGCTTCTTTCTCTGCAGGTTATTTCAAAACAAATCCCAGTTTTAGTTCTGGGTTTGTTTTACATCACTGAATTATATTGTTGCTGTAAGGGAACAGTATGCCCCCCCCCCCACACACACACACACAAATACCACCCACCCCTTTGGCCCTTCAGTCAAGTCACCAGCTTCCAAGGCCATGTTGAGCCTCAAGTCATTTACCCCTTCAAGGCCATGCTGAGCCTCAAGTCATTTACCCTTTCAAGGCCATGTTGAGCCTCAAGTCTTTATACTTCTTCAAGGCCATGTTGAGCCTCAAGTCTTTATACTTCTTCAAGGCCATGCTGAGCCTCAAGTCTTTATACCCCTTCAAGGCCATGTTGAGCTTCAAGTCTTTATACCCCTTCAAGGCCATGTTGAGTCTCAAATCACATACCCTCAAGTCTAAGTTGTCTCCAGACACCCTCGCTCCAGTCCAAATCGACTCTCAAGACTGACACTCAAGTCCAAATAGAGTCAAGTCATTTGTGTCAAAGTTGAATCCTA